TAGTTAAAGTGGCTAGTCAAGTCAGGTTGACCAGTAATACTGCGTAGTGATTTTGATGCTTACTTCTGGCCTTTTGCAAAAACTAACCTAAATTTTGATGAAGGATTGATGCTTAAATACATGGATATATATATATATATATATATATATATATATATATATATATATATATATATATATATATATATTGTGTATTTAGGCAGCAATCTCTCTTTAATACATGTTTTATTAGAGGTACTGCGATTAAGCTTTTTATTTAATTTTTCTTGTATTCGAACAAGTGTTTTCTTTTCAGGACACAGAGTGTGTAGAAACTGTCCAGATGTTTTGTAATTCCGAGCGCTTTTGGCTATACTTTTAGCAATTCTCAAGGATGATTTTATTTTTACTCTTAACTAGATGTATGGATTGTATGCATGTATCTGGAGTTATAGAGATATTTTATTTTCCAAACACAGCACATTGTGGCCGTGTTCGTAATTAATATTATTGAGTGTGGACTATTTCTTTTTTTTTATTATTAACATGGTTTATTATTTTTTTACATGTGGATGAAGTTATTATGCTTGTATTTTCTACTGGTATATTTCGGATGGAGTCTGGTAGGTTTGCGTGTGTGTGTTTAAATGAGTTCTAATTGAACTGTGGTCGGATAGGTGTAACGTAAGTTGTCTGGATAGTCATGTAGTAGTGTGACCGATGTAATTATTTACGAGTTTGGTTTGATTAAGAACACAATTCCTTCAGGAGGATTTGAACTCGTAAATAATGATCGTTCTTTGTAGTTTTGATTTTGCAGGTGTGTTGTTATTTCTTAGTATAAGGTTAGCTGTTTTAATGTTTTTGTAATAGATAATTCGTTTAATTTTTTGTTCAGGCCAACTGGAGTAATGTATTTCTTTATGATATTTCTAAATGTAGATTCATCTTGTTTATAGTTGACGTGCATTTATCTTTTGTAGAAGATATTTATGCCATTGTTGTGTGTGTGTGTGTGTGTGTGTGTGTGTGTGTGTGTGTGTGTGTGTGTGTGTGTGTGTAATCAGTATCGTAATTATTTACTTTGGAAAGAAATAGTCCAATCCGGTGGTCGATGAGGTTGTTAGGAAGACCATTGTTAACTAGTGTCTGTTTTGCATTGTTGAGTTCTTTAAAGAAAAGTAGACGAGAGGATGAATTCTCGTGCGCTCTCTTTAGTAATTTTTTTTTATCACTGCTATATTGTATCTATGGTCCCAGAATGTCGGATAAAAAAAATCCTTTCAAAAAAGTACTGTTGTTTACGTTTCGGTTACAAAACTAAATCTAACAGATATAGATTCTTAGAAGTTTCGACAAGAAAAAAGTGCTTTCATAAATAGAATTATTCAAACCTCATCTGTCAGGCTGGCTCTGTGGCTGACCTGGTAGACGCATACTTTGGTTTAAAAAGTGATTTGCCTGATGAAAAAAAAATGATGCAGTTTCAATTCCTACCGAAGATAGAATTTTTCTCCAGGAAGACTTCTCAATTTAGGCCGGTTGTTATTAATTCCATTGATTAACACACACACACACATGTGAATTTTAAATGAGGCCAAATTGAGCTAAAATTATCGCCAAAAGCGATCGGACTTACAAAAACATTCAGACAATTTCGACATAATTTATGTTCAGGAAAGAAGAAAATTATAAGAACACAAGAAAAATTAAATAAAAAACTTAACCGCGATACCTTGTCAGTCGTTTTTAAAGAAACGTGTTTATATATATATATATATATATATATATATATATATATATTGTGTATTTGGGCATCAAACCCACTTTTATATAAATTTTATTCAAGACGCCTATCAAGCCACTGCAATAAAGCTTTTGATTATTTTTCTCTTACATTCGTACAAGTGATTTCTTTTCTAGTGCTAGGATGTGTAAAAACTGTCCAAATAATCTGTGGACCCTAGCACTTTATGCTAATCTGTTAACCATTATCAAAGATGTTTTTGTTGTTGTTTAAATGCATATGTAGATATTTTTATATGTATCTAAGGAGATGGAATATTTTTTGTTAATTTCCGAATACGGTCAGCACATTGTGGTCGTGTTCGTAATTAATATTATTGAGGATTGTCTTCTTTTTTTATTATTAATTCTTTCATTAATTTAAAATTGTCATCTTATTTTTTTGTATACGGCTGTGTTTATTATGGTCGCATTTTTCACAAATGTGTTGCGGACATATATATATATATACAATCTGTGGCCTAACGTTTGATGATCGAGTGTCAAATGCTGATCTTTTTGAGAAATGCTAGAGTGGTACCATCGAGACGTCCATAATGCAATCAAAACTATGTTGGGTTGGCCATGTGGCAAGGAAGAGTGATGATCGCATACCAAAAGTTCTTTTTTTTTACAGTGAACTCAATAGTAGTCATAGAAATGTTGGTAGACATTGGCTCAGGTATAAAGATAAACTGAAAAGCAACCTTTCTTGCGTCAAGATTCCATTCAAGAACTTTGAAGAGGTAGCTATGAAGAGATCAGAATATCGTTCTAACTGCCATTCAGGAATAATGCACCATCAAGAAGCAAGCATCATGAAACACGAAAACAAAATAAGACAGCTAATAGTGTTCGTACTGCACTTGGGTGTAATACATTCTCCTGTACTGTGTGTGGCCTTTTGTGTAATTCTCGAGCTGCTCTCAAAAATCATGCCAGTCATAGGTATGCAGATAATTAGTTCGTGGTCGTTGGAACCCCATACGTCGAACTCGACTGGAGAGTCCATTATATATATATATATATATATATATATATATATATATATATATATATATGTGTGTGTGTGTGTGTGCATAGTAATTTACTAAGTGTAACTTAGATGGCACAAGGCCAAAAGTGTGGAGTACCCAGTGAGGATTGAACTCACTACTCAGTTGTAATTGATCTAACGAGATAAGTTTGTTACCTATTACACCTCTTCGAAGTGCTCCTCTCTTTCTATATATATATATACATATATAATGTAATGTTACGGCTTTTAGGTCTTACTAGCAGTAGAGCCCGGCGTTGCCCGGGGATGTAACAGTAAGAGATAGATCAAGTATCGACCCTCATAAAGACTGAAAAATAAAATTGACAAAGATTATTGTTTAAGGTTGACGGACACGCATGTCTTAATTAGTTTTTGTTTTGTTTTGTTTTGTTTTTTTTACGAATTGGTCAAACCCAAACTCAAACAAAAACATTGTTTTCAATCGTTATGAGTCTACCGATTGAATAGAATTTTATTATAAACAATTGTCTTGTAAATGGAATTTTTAAAGCATTCTGAATGTAAAAATAAAAAAAAAAGTGTTGCAAGACAATAAGAAATACGACCTGTTTTGTTGAAATCGGTTGAAAAATGTAGGAAA